GGCATGATGATGAGACAGAATTACCATAAGAATTAGTGTATATGTGTGTGTGTGTGTGTGTGTGTGTGTGTGTGTGTGTGTGTGTGTGTGTGTGTGTGTGTGTGTGTGTGTGGGACAACAGGATCTGGTCCTCAACAGCTTCGAGCAGCTTTGCATTAATTATGCAAACGAGTACCTGCAATTCTTCTTTAACAGGATCGTATTCAGAGAGGAACAGGTGAGTCCACGTCACACTTCCCGATGAAAAGCACACACTCACGCACTTGTCCTATAACTATTGAGGACAAAAAATGCACATATTTGAGGCATCATATGCACGCAAATGGTTTTCATTAAGTGTAGATTAGTGGCATATAAACATGTGAATCCTTTGCTTAATTCAGGCATTGGCAACTTTCAACATCAAAACAGCCATTTTACCTCCTCCTACCAAACAGCAGGAGTAAAAGAGCAGCACTTGGGGGATGAGGGATAGACGGGTGGATGACAGATGTAACTGGGGGAGGATAAATGAATGTATTGCATATAGTATATGTATTAATAGGTAACCCTAACCTGTCCCTCATGAGCTGCAGGTTGCCAACATCTGGCTTAGGTAATAATGCAACTAATATTTTATGATCTTTTATGTGATCCTCTTGCAGGAGGAGTACAGCAGGGAGCAGATCCCATGGCAGGACATCACATTCAACGACAACCAGCCCTGCATCGACCTCATTGCCGCTAAGCCTCATGGGATACTGAGGATTCTGGATGACCAGAGCGGTTTCCCGCAGGTGAGGATGAGGAGGAAGTACTGACAGATTTTCAGATTCCTTATATGGATTATAAAACTGGGACTTTTGGTGTGGTAATTTGTTGACAGGCAACAGACAACACTTTTCTTCAGAAGTGTCACTATCACCATGGCAGTAATCCACTGTACATGAAGCCAAAGATGCCGGTCCCAGAGTTCACAATTAAGCATTTTGCCGGGCGGGTCACTTACCAGGTACTAAGCTCCTCACTGAGATTCTCTTGGCTAGTTTCATTGTATTATAATTCATTGAAGTATTGAAAATGTGGTGAACTGTAATGACAAACAGAGTGATCATCTGTCACTGATGCAGGTTTACAAATTCCTGGATAAGAACTACGATCAGGTGCGTCAGGATGTCCTGGACCTGTTCATTCAGAGCAAGAACAAGGTCGGCTTGGTCTTAAAACTTAATCTAATCAACACAATCGCTAAGCAATGTTTTTGTAAAGTCTGTATTAATCTGTGCATTTGTGTGTTTCCAGATGGTATCAAACCTCTTCCTGGTTCATGCAGAGGCCACGGGTCAGCAGAGAGGTCACATAAGGAAGAGCAGCACAGTCACCAGAAAATACCAAGCTCCCACCGTCAGCAGCAAGTTTCAACAGTCCCTGCTGGAGCTGGTGGAGAAGATGGAGAGGTGAAGTACACATGTTCTCTCTCAGATCATAATTGGTTTTTATTGTTTTCATTAAAAAAAAATTATCATGTTTTTGTTGTTCCATTTCAGGTGCAATCCTTATTTCGTTCGCTGCATTAAGCCAAATAACATGAAGGTATATCTTGAAGCGTCATATATCTAAAGTTATTTACCTGCACATACATTAGTGTTTCTGAGCTTTTGGACACCTGTCTTTAGCAACCAGGTGTGTTTGAGGACGAGCTGGTGAACAGCCAGCTGCGGCACTCTGGTGTCATGGAGACCATTAGGATCCGCAAAGAGGGATATCCAATCAGAATGCCATTCTATGTCTTCCTGTTCAGGTAACATGAACTCTGATCCTCAGCGTATTTGTTGAGTTTGTGAAGCTGTTCAGGACTTTGTGTTCCCAAAAAAATGAAGATAATTGAACTCACAGCTGAGGCAGAGGAGAACCTTCTATAACAGAAAATCCCAGCAATAACTGAGCAGACCGCGAAGTGGCAACTCATAGTTGATGCTCTTCTGATTTGCAAATATCGCATGTCATGCCTTATTTAAGCTACTTCAACTGGTCCACAGTTGCACGTGCCTCTGCAAGTCACTTTGCAACCCAACTTTAACTAATTTTCTTCTTCTCATGCTTTGTCTGACTTAATCAGTGTCATAGCTGCTGTCATTGCGCTGCTCTTTGGTGGGGTCTTGCTGCTGCCCTCCCAGTACAAAGCCATGCCACCAAAGTTTAAAATTTGAATTCATGTGTAACTTTGTTTATGGTGTTGTCTTATTTGGCAAAAAAATGAACTATGGAAGATTCTGTAACCACAACCATAAAAGCACACAAAAAGAATATTTCACACAATATACATTGACTATAAGGACACGTACACATTGTACCTACAGGAGCCTTTATTACATCCCATTATAAATCCACAGCCATTCATAATGTGTCTGTTAATGCGTCCATAATGCGTTTTCCTTCCTCCACCAAATTTTACAGTTGGCACAATGCAGTTTGGTGTTCAAACCCAGACTCATCCATCAGACTGCCTGATAGAGGAATGTGATTTGTTATGCCACAGAACAATTTTCCACTGCTCCAGAGTTCAGTGGTGGCATGATTTACTCCGCCTAGCACTTGGCATTGTGTCTGGTGATCTAATGCTTAAAGCATGGCCTTCAGCTATGGAGAGCCATGAAGTGAAGCTGCCAGTACTCCAAAAGCTTTGGTGTAAGTTGGCGACCCTGCTCTGTAACTTTGCATGGTCTGAGCTACTTTGGCTCCTAAACAATGCAACTGTTAAACAACAGTTTAACAGCTGATCGTGACCCAATACCTCTGTCCATATTACGTGTCTGAATTGCGACACAGTCAGTATCGATTTATATCAGTACTTCTTTTTTAAAAATCACTATTATCGACTGAGCACCCCTAATTTGAATGTGTGTCTCTGTCAGGTACAAGTCCCTGGCGGGGATACAGACACTTCCTGTGGCAAATGGAGAGAACTGTGTGTTGTTGCTCGGTAAACTGTGTCCTCTCCGACCAGGAGCCTACCATGTTGGAGTCACAAAGGTGAGCTTGTTCACATTAAGCCTCACAGTTAAAGACAGACCCAGCACCAACTGCTTGTCTAATGGCTGAGTAGAGATTGTTTTCCTGCTTTGTAGCTTGAAATTTGAGATACTATGGTTTGTTGGATCAATGTTATATCTTTTTTTTTTTTTTTTTGCATGAACTCACACGTGTGTTTGAATAATTGCACTTATATGTGTGTGTATGAATGGCAGTTGTTCCTAAAGGAGGACATCTACCAGCTGCTGGAGTGTAAGCGAGAGCGCTCTCGTCATCTTGCCGCCCTCACCCTGCAGCGTTACACTCGCATGTTCTTCGTCAGGAAACGCTACGTTGAATTCCGCAACAAAATCAGCAGGTTTCAGGCACACTGCCTAGGCTTCCTCGTTAGGTGAGGTGTCCCACAGAGATCTTACATTTTCAGTAGATTTTATTACAAAACAAAACGCAAATTCAGATTCTGATTGGAGTCCTGCATTCTTTCAATGTAATGATTCGGAATTCCAGTATGTGCTCAACCACATAGTTTAGGTTAAAAGGGCAGTGAGGTAAAGAAAATGTAAATTGTGTCTTTACATTAAAATCACTATAATTAAGAAATAAAGCTTTCAGTGAACTGTTGTGCTTGAGCTTGTAGCATGCTTGTGAAGTTTACCTCTGTGAATGTGGCAAATGTTAGGAAACAAGATCAACAGTCAGTGCGTTAGGATTCATTGTACTGAGATTCTCTTCATCTTCTAGGAAACGCTATGTGAAAATGAGGGAGAGTCTGGTCCGTTTCCGCTCTCTGGTCCACATGTATGTCAACCGGAAGCAGTACATTAAGGTACACTGAGATACTGTGGTTTGTAGGACTGATGTTTATACCTTCTGCATGTGATTTTTTTTTAAGTAACACGTGCATTTGATGCAGTGTCCTTTCAAACATCTTCATATTTTCTTCATTTCTAAGAAAATAATTTCAAATATGACCCACCCTTAAGCCTGCTTTGTGCTTTTGAGTCTTTCTGCTCTGGATTTACATTAAAACACTGACCGTGTGTTTTTGGGATCTCATTGAAGATGAAGTTTGAAGCCAGGAGGAAAGCAGAAGAGGAGAGGAGGAGGAGAGAGATGGTAAGATGAAGGACTAGCTAAGACAAGACTTCAATGAGAAAAGCATCCGTGTTTTTGTTTTTGCACACTGGCATGAGTTCAAACCAGCAGCCTATGTTAGAGCTCTTCTAACCTCATTGTTAGTTTGCAGATAGATTAAAAGTGGTGTTTCTTTCAGGAGCTGACCAAAAGGGAGGTGGTTAATGTGACTCACTTGGTGATCCCTGCAGAGCTAGGCGCTTTGCTGCAGACAGCAGGAGGTGTGTAGACGTCTGTCCGTCTTTCCCGTCAGTGTGCATCACATGCACATAGATTATTCATGTGTGTGTGAGTGCTCCAGCCAGCTGTTTGAATGTGTCTTATCTCATCAGCACTGACAGTATCAAATTAAGAAATGATACGAACAGTTCTGACAGGGTGGAGCAGGAGGCCCATCATCTAATAAATAAACCAGACACTGAAAAATTGTCAAGGAATGTAAAAAAGTTTTAGGATTTTGTACATGTACGTTTTTGGTGCTCTTGCATTACTCCTGGCTGACTCCTCGTTTAACCTTGTCTGTTACTCCCTTCAGTCCGGAGGGAGTTGCACTCAGACTGCCTGGCTCTGCTTCAGGCTCCTCATATCCAGGATGATGCTGAACTCACGTTGCCTCTGGACATCAACAACTACCCTTTCTTCCGCTATGTTCAGATTTACTTCAGGGTGAGATGCACGTGCATCAGCATGTCGTCATATGCTGTGTAACATACTGTGTATGTGCGTGGATACTCAGATTTGAGGACAGCTGTTGAAATTTGTGTTTAGATTTATCAGTTATAGCATCATTTTGAAAGGTTTTAGGTAGATTTGTTTGAAAAGCTGTTTATTAAACACAGCAAATCTTTTGTTGCTGTAGGAGCCAAAGTTTGGGATGTTGATGGCTCCTCTGGAGTCATCTCTGACCCGTGTGGAGGACGACCTGAGAGGGGAGGCTCTGGAGCTTTTCAACATGGTAGAGTGATCTTTGTTCTCCCCTTAAAAGGGAGAGACTATGTAAACTGTTCTTTTTGGTTGTTTGTCTGTCCGTCGTGCACAGTTTCGAAACATCGAAGAACTCGAGCTGATTTCAGTTGGGTGGAAATCGCCCCAAGGTCAAGGTCAAATGTGAAAATCAGTAAAAACCTTCCTATTACTTAAACATCAGTTTAAGTTGCCCATTTACCCTGAATATTCTTGAGCACTGTTAAAATGATAACAGTTCCACAGAGACACACTTGCATCATGTCATTATGCTACTCTCGTTACACAGAAGCAAACCATCCTCTAATTATGAGGTTCTGCTACTAACTGGGAAGCAAATAAGAAATTTGGAACATGTTTTTTACATTGTAAAAGATTTAACAGCAGAATAAAAAAGTCTCTTCTATTTTCTCGTGTTTTTAGGACAAACCTACAAAAACACACACAAATACGTCACCAGACTGCCATAAATCTGTAAAACCAACAGAGTTAGTTGTTACAGCTTTCACCTGGATTCTGTTTTCTTCAGGTATTACGGTTTATGGGGGACCCTCATCTGAATGGGGCGCAGGAAAACATGTTTGGGAATTACATCGTCCAGAGAGGCTTGTCTTCGCCAGGGTTACGAGATGAGATCCTGGCTCAGGTTGTCAACCAGGTGTGGAGGAACATAAACTCTGAGAATGCAGAGAGAGGCTGGCTGCTGCTGCTGGCATGTGTCTGCTGCTTCGCCCCATCAGCCAAGATGGACAAATATCTGCTCAAGTGAGAAATCATAAAATGACCTCACAACTAATTATTTAGCAAATAGTTTGAGAGGTAAAAAAAAAAAAACACATGTTAAGAAGCTATATGCTGTAAGTAAGAGACTTCTACTCCACTGTTGAACCTCATTTCACCTCTGCTCCAGGTTCGTGTCGGACCACGCTCCTGCTGGCTGGCAGGTGCTGCTGCAGCACAGACTCATCCAAGCGAATCAGAAGATGCAGCTGGGATCAGGCTCCGCCCCCGAGACTGCGCGGACGTATCCGCTGTCGCTGCTTGAGTGGACCGCCAATAGGAAGAAGGCTAACATGGTGTTGCACGTGCACTGTCTTGATGGTAATATCTCACCTGCTTAATGTTGCAATGTTCAACTTTTCATCGGTCTGCTTCTTTGCTCTTTTCCAAGAACTCCAAACGATTCAAGCAAAGTAAATAAAAAATTCACAACATTTTCCTTTACAATCAGTATCTAGTTTTGAGGTGCACAGAAAAAAACCAGGAGCTGTTCAAATATTTAGGAAGTCTTTCACACCCGGGGTCTAAACTGGCACACACCTCAGAGAAAAGAAAGAGGGACGACCTGGCATTGCTTTTATTGTGTAGGATCAATTACATCCCCAGATCATTGATTATTCATTGTCATTCAGGATCAGGTGATGTGACTGTGGGGCTCATGTGCTTTGTATTGCACAATTAACACAGTTTGTTAGTTAATGAGTGTAATTTAAAGCAGCAAAGGAACTATTTGTTGCATTTTTATTCATTTATCTCTCCCTGCAGGAGGGTCCTTCCTGTGTCCTGTCCATTCCTGGACCAATGGAGAGGATTTAGCAGGAAACATTCTGCGTCACAGGTTTGGTTTTGTATTTTTAGCTCCATAACATTTAATGTAAACATCTGAACATGCCATGATAATGTTTAGAGAGTAGTTTTAACACGTGTGTATAGATATTGTGAACATCTGAATCATGCATCTTGCAGGGGAGTGTCTGACTGGTGGAGGGGGAGTTCAATTCTGATGAAGGAGCAGGGTCAGTGGGTGGAGTTAGCTGGTCATGACTATGTCATGGACCTGATTGCAGATATGGAGCTTCCTATGGACTTCCCAAAGCAGAAGAGTTACTTCATCATCAGCACTGACAACCCAGCTAAAGTCAGAGCTAATGCCAGCCTGTTAGTATGCAAGATGCACACATGCAATTCATTACTCACGTGACTAAAGCTACACCACGTGGCACATTACTCCTCTCTCCTCTCATCTCTCAGTGCTTTGTTTGGCAGTGGCTTTGACTCAGATGAGGAGCTTCCTTCCTCCCTTCCTCTCAGCAGCAGCAGACCAGCCTACAGCCTGCCTGATTCAGATGGTTACTACAGCCACGGTACACACACACAGTTAACTCTTATCTGCATAACTGAATTTTTAAGCACTTACAAATTAAAGATTTTCAAATGATCTGATCAAATGTACAAACTAATCTTTCTGTGAATTGAAGCCCCCATCGGCTGTTGTTTTTAACTACTTACTAGCGTGTATCACTCCCAAACTGCTGAACCCAAAACTTTTATGCTCTTTGTGTTTAACAAATGCTTCAGCTGTGTTATAGATGAATCCCACCTGTCCAGATGTTTAAAGCTGAGTACCAAGGATGGCACTCAGAAAATAGCTTTTTTGAGTCGTGAAATCAGAGGTTTCAGGTTTCCAACTCACTCTGGGTTCCAAGAGATACAGTTAGCAGGATTATATGCAAATTTAAAACTTGTGCTAGTTTGAGTACACAGTCTATAAGAGGAACACTAATGAAGCAAGCTTGATCCTTGCATATTTGCCACTGCATTTTTGATATGCAAGAAAACACATGGATAGGCCTGCAGGGTGCTGTGAGTCTGTTTATGGACTGATGAGACTAAAGTGGACCTGTATTGACCTCTGGATGGGCTACGTGTGTGGTGTAGGAAGAGTAGGCACTATTTTACCATCATGACAGCCAATCCCTCTGATGTTCTTTGATGGGACTTAAAGAAAGCAGTGGATTCATAACTGAGCTGGATGCGTTTGGCTTCTTATTAGGAAATTACTGGAATGTCTTATTGTAGATTTTAACAGTTAAAAGGTGGCCAACAAAGTAATGTATTTGTTGATGATAACCTTTTTTGGAGAAGCTCATTAAAGCTTTAATTAAAGCTTTAATTTCAATAATTTTAATCACATGACCGGAATGTCTCTTACATTAATGCAGTTGAATAATTGTTTGTACAAGTTTCTGTATTTAAGTAGTTTTGTTTATTAGAGTTTTGGTTATGATGTATGCTCACCTATTCCTCACCACTGTGTTGTATGTTTCTAACTCTAATTAGTTACTTCCTGGTTCATTTTGCAAGCACTTGTTTTTCTGTGTCTTGTGTTTGTGTTTTCATTAGGTTATTGTCTTCGTTTCCCACATTATCTGGTGTGTTTGTATTGTGTGAGTCTCCATCTGTTCCTTGTCGCATCATCCAGGTTGTGTGTTTCCTTTGTTCAGTGTTTCCCCTACGTTTCCTAGTTTTGGGCCCTTTGCTTCAGCTGTGCTCTTGTTTTGTATCTTTGTATCATTTGAAAGCATTCAGCACTACAGCTGCTGTTTGAGTTTACACGCTGTTTCACGAGCCCTGGGTGTGGGTCCATGCCCTGCTTGTCACAGAGCTGCACTTTGGCAACAAAAATGGAAGAGTTGGGAAAGTTTGAAAGTCTTGTGATCTTGAAACAGTTTCCTGTGTGTTGTCCGAAGAGAGAGAGAGACGTAGATAAAAAGCTGGATCAGTTAATCAAGGTTTCTGCAACAAATGTGACAATCAAAACTGTGAAAAAACAATGAACTGACTTAGGTTGCATTTTTGAGAATAAGACATTTTGATCAGTGACTAACAACCTTTTCTCTACAGTTAAAGTAAACCTGATCACCTGATAAAACATGCTTGATTAAAAGAAAAAAAAAAATCAAACATGACAGTTTCTGTGCACTAAAAACACTGAAAATACAATGTTTAAAGCATTATTGCTGTTTGTCTGTTTTCAGAGTCAGAAACATTGAGCGAGGGTCAGCCTCAGAGAGGGATGGACCGCTACCTGGACAGCCTGTTTGACCCTGTGCTGTCGGACAGCAGCACGGTGAGTGCTCGTCCTGATTTCTCATAAACTACACATGTCAACCAACTATTTCCTCTGTGTTTTTAAAATTGCTGTAGTGCTATGAAACTAACACGCAAAATAGTAATAAATGATTGCTTGGTATAATCTTTTAAGTCATCTACCAGGTGAAATACTCGACAGATGACCATATTACTGCATTGCCACTGCTTTCATTTTGACAAAGACTTTTCACTATAAATGTGTCTATGTAGAGCTGCAAGTGCTTTCCTGCCACTGCAACTCAAAGCTTATTACTTCTTTGTTCAGTTATATTAATTATATTATAAGACCAATCAGTTAATTGCCGACCTAAAAGAAAAGTAATAATACAGGTGGATAGTTGTAGCTCTGTGTCATTGATCTGTCCTCTGAGTGTGAACAGAAGAGTGCTGATGGAGGAATTGAGCATGTGATCCTCGGCTTGTGTTTGGGTATGAATGGAGCACACGGGACGGCTGATTAGGTTACCGCGTGACCTACCGTATATGACCGCAGCAGCAGTCAGCATAAACGAGTCACCGTGTGGGGAAAAGATTCCGCTCATAGCTTCATCTTTTGTTTATTAGTGGAAACAAAACGAGTTCAGCGTCCTCATCACTCGGGTTGCACAGGAAAGGTTGCATCAGGAATGTTTTCGGGCTTTGAGTAGTATATATCAATGGCAATAGTTAAAATAAAAACATAATATCTGTGTTTGGCAGAAGTCTTGATAGACCTGTTTAGATTTTCTTGAGCGGTTTTGGCTTTAAAATCATCTGACACTGGAAACAAAGTAGCTGAGAATTTCAGTCAGCTCAGGAGAATGAGGTCTGTCATGCAGTGGTGAATTTTGTTGTAGTCCATTTAGTGTCTTTATGCTGGAGCCTCTCCTCCTGCGTGTACGGTACTTCCTGGAGAGTATACTGTTCCTGCAGCTCAGAGAGGGTCTAAATCAACCAATCCAGTTCACTCCCTCTTGCTTGTTGTCTTAGTCCCTCTCCTTCCCTCCCTGCTTCTGACACCTTTTCTTTTTCCACTTCATGCCCCTTAAACTCCAGTTTCTCAACTATAAGCATCCCTTTCCTTCTGCTGAGTCTCCTGCTGCTCTTTGCTCACCAGGACATGGAGAAGAGTGGAAGTTTGTCAGAAAGGATGAAGGGAGGAGGAGGTATAGGCATCACAGGAGAAGGAAGGGAAGAGGGAGAGAGTCGCCCAGCTTCCAGCCGGCCTTATCCACCAGGAATACATCCTGGAGGTAAACACTGAGTGCTGTGTGTGTTTGTTGTTATGTGTGTCAGTGCTGATTGGCCATATGTTTGTCTCTGGACTTCTATTTTTTTTGCTGCCTATATTTTGTGTCTAAGCGGATATTGCTGTTTCCAGAATTAGTGGCACCTTTCTCCCTTTTTGTCTGTGAATATTTTGCTGGACTTTTCATTTTCAGACATTTCTTTTGTCCTCACAGCTCACTCTCTCTGCACTGACATTAATAATTCAGCTTAACCTAAGCGCTCCTAAATCATTGGCTTTTGTCTCAGGCTAATAGAGTTTCCCTTTGTTTCTCCTTTGTAAGCTCCTCCTCAATAAATTAATAATAACGCATTTAAAATGTTTTGGTGATGCTTTATTATCAACCTACTTTCATTCCCATAGTAACAGGCAGACAGAGTATTTCTTTATTGGTATCTTAAAGGCAATGAACAGACCTGAACTTTAAAAGTTTAACTTTGAGCTGTTGGCTGTATTGACTGTCCTCATAGATAATACATTAAAAGCCATTCACTATAACAGGTGACTGTTATTTCTCTTAAACACCAGTCATTACAAATTGATCACTTTCCACACATCTAGTAATGTTACGTACCATTTTTACTGGCTCTTGTGTGCTTGACTGTAAAATTCCAGACTTTTTATTTATTATTTTACCTTCACAGTTTCCTCTTTTTTCCCCTCTAATGTACTGATGCCAGGCTTACGGCACTGAGCAAAAGTCACATAGTGACAATGCTGATGTTATACTGGTTTGATGTTTATCATCAGCAAACATGTTTGCTTTACTTCTAAAGCAGGGTATTGGACAAATTGAGATTTTGACCTGACATGTGTTCAAAACGCAAATCTAAAAAGAGGAAACCATACAGTATCAAACAGCACATACTGTAGAGAAATATTGGACGTTTAAGACCAACACTGATAACAATATTTGGTGATTTAAAAATCTGATATCCTGATATATCACCAATGCTTTTTTTCCCCTTTCAGACACATGAACAAACAGATTTCCCTAGCGCTTGCTTATTTACTTGCTTGCATATTTCCTGAGTCTGATTGGATAAACTGGTTGTTATGCTTATGGTGTTTCAAACATGTGTGTTGCCCTCTGCTGGACGACCTAAACAACGTCAACTCCCAGGACACGATTGAAGCATGTTTCACCTGTCTTTACTTTTTTGTTACATTCTCATTTGTCAGCCGTTATGTTATAAGTGTGACAAATAGCTGATATTGGCCAGTAATATCATTCCACTGATGTGCTCTAACAGTTACTACTACTTTACTCAATAGTAAAAATGTTAATTTTACAATGGCTCCAGCGTAAAGCTGAAAAATAAACCGAGCATTGGCATGAAACTAATTTCTGAGATTTGTAGAAAGACCCTTTGCAACAGTGTTAATTTTGACAGCAAATTTTGATTTAGTTGTAGTCACAGACTTGACTATGATGTCATTTAGTTTTAGTCGACTAAATAGCTCATGATGAAGTCAAAAGCTGCCCAGCAAATTGGGGAAGTTGGTTGTGTTTTCACTGATGAGATTTGCTCAACACGATTTACAAAGTGTCTTATTTTCCTTGCCATCAAATGTAAAATGTGTACATGTGTCTACTCTTCTCTTCCTCCCAAGCGTTGACATTTTGTCGTGTTTTCATGAGAATCAGGGAGCATGGGAGCTGGTTGTAGTTTCCCTGGGGCGGCTCAGACGTGCGTGTCCAACCTCACAGCACAAGATTAGTTCTGCTTGGATCACTTCCAAACTCGCTTTTCTGTACAACTTAATTAGTTCTGATTGGATCTCGTCTCTCCAGAATGTTTTCATCTTGTTTTTTATTTGTTGAATGCATCAATACATTTTATCATAACTTTTGTCATCCTGCATAAGTTTTTATTAAGTTATTGTTCTCATTCGAAAAAACAAGGTTGTTGATGAAAACTATGATTAAAATTATTTTTCAACATAATTAACACTGTTTTTCAAAGCGATAAATACAGCACAAACATCTTCACACCAGCACTGATACAGAGCAGAAAAACATAACAGCTTCTTCATACAAATTGTATGAATACAGACGTTGTTTGCTCAGCTTTAAGGACTTTTCTTGTCGTAGTCGTGTCAGCACCTGCCTGATAACAAAGACACGGAAAGTGCCTCATGGCCTTGAACAGAGTTTACAGTTAGATTTGAACCTGTTGCTTCCCATCTTCACACACGCACACACTTTGTACTCTTTGTACAAGATGTTACAGTCACATACCAGCAGACCACAGAGATTAGAAAAGCTGAAACAGGTTTTCCATTACACACTCAGCAGGATTTGTCTGGGTCAAAGTTGGGGAGTAATAAACACATTAATATTGATGTTCTATGAACCACGGCATCAGTGTGGCTAATAACGACCACTCTGACATATTTTATTTCTGAATCTGAACTTGATCGTACCTTGTTTGTCGTAAAATGTGAAATATTTCCCAGTCACTAACAATGTGTGGACTGACTGCCACTTAAGACCTGTCTATCTTCCTTTTCCCTGCCTGCTACTCCTCAAGCTGTGCCAGTGCTTCCAGTAGCAGGAGGAATGATGCCCCCAATCCCTGCTATGCCAATCCCCTCCCACCACCATCATCACGAGCAACATCAACAACAGCAGCAACAACAACAATACCACCAATATAACCGACCCCAACACCCCTACCACCGTCAGCAATCGTTTTCTGCCACCACTCCTTCTAGTCGTGTAGCACCCACGCAATCACCCACTCGCACCCCCGCTGCTGCCCCTGCTGTTGATACCGATGTCGCTTCCAATGTGTCTGTTGTCCCGGGTCTGCCTGCGGCGCCCTCACTCCCAGCCACGCCTGTGGTTCCAGGCTTGCCTGTGATGACAGGTGTGCCAGGTAGAATAAAAGGATGTGCGTTAGGTTTTCCAGCATGTTTGGCCTGAAGTGTTTGGGCATGATGGACTCCTTTATTTCTTTTTTCTTTAATTAAAGCCAGTTTCAAGTTTTTTTGTGTTTGTTTTTTATGTGGGGTTGCAAAGTTCATTCGTGTGGTTTGTTTTAAACAGATAATTCTGTTTCTTGTGCTCTTAGTGCAGCAACAACATAACAGTTATATGTTTGTGCTTCTCCAGGATCGGAGCAAGTGGTACTGACTCAGCAGCAACAAGCCATCATCAACCAACAAGCCATCATTCTGGTCTGACATCATTTCTCTGAACAACTCTGATATTAAAACCACTGTTCGTACTGGGCGATACAGTTCTGTGTAAAAGAGAGACTGTGCAACACTTACACCTAATGATTCAGTAGTTTGTAGGAACACATCTAGCAGCAATAACTTGAAGTAATCATTTTCTGTGTGACCGGTTTGTCACATAGTTGTGGAGGAATTTTGGCCCGCTCTTCTTTACAGCGTTGTTTCAGTTCACTGGGGTTTGTTTATGCTTTCTCTTAAGGTCACATCACAGCTTTTCAGTCAGGTTTCACTGGACCATTGCAACACATTGATTCTTTTCTTTTTCAGCTATTCTGTTGTAGATGTGCTGCTATGCTGGGGATCAATGTCCTGTTGAATGACCCGGTTTAGGCCAAGTTTTAGCTGCCTCATGTAGACAGACATCACATTGTATTTTTTTTCTGCACCAAAAATATGACACAACAATCTAGTTTTTTGTTTGTTGGTTTTTTAGACTTGTTCAGTATATTTCCAACTTTCCAACTTACCTAATATTCATATTTAACATGCTAACTGATGGCTGCAGAGGCTTACATGTAGCTCATGGGTGTTTGTCTGACCTTAACTCGTGAATGCACCAGAGCAGCAAAGCGCCAAAACATCTGATTTTATAGATGTGCTCACACTTGCTGATGATCAGCTAATCCATTACATTTGATTTGCTGCTACTTACCCTCTCAATTTCTATGGAAACATTAGACTGCACAGAGTCTTTTTCACATGGCTGTACGAGCAAATGAAGTATGATAAAACTGTCTTTATGCAGTCAAATGCTAAAAAGATAATGCTGCACTCTGAGCCCTTAAACTAATGTTTAAGTGAAAGATACCATAATCAGTACCACTTTCACATTTGTATGTCACAGTACACATGACGCTAAAGGCTGTACTACCAAAATACTTGGATAATCTAAGCAGTTAATTCATTTATTGAGTGAAAATTGACAACTTTACAAATGTACCACATTACTTTACTGACTCCTGACATCAAATGTCTTGCCTAAACAAATGATATCAAGTTACAAATTGACACAGTTAACCTAAACATTAAGTTAAGCCATAAAAGATGAATATGTTTTAAACATAGGTATAAACTGTTGTTTACTAAATATTGAATATATGTTGGATTGTTTGTGTTGCAGGCCCAGCAGATGACGATGCAGGCCATAGCAATCCAGCAGCAAATGTTGTCTTCTTTCCCCCCAGCTGCTCCAGCCCCACAGTCACCACCCTCATACTATCACGCGCACTCACAACAGCGCTCACGCACAGCCAGTCCTGTGAGTAAGCACACACGCTGCTGTGTTGATGTAACGTTCAATACACTTTATGCATGCAAATCTGAAATATAATCTTGAAGCCGTATCACTTATTGTTGTCTTTCCTGCAGACCAAAGAGAGTGAGGCATCTCCGCACAAGCCGAGCGCTGCCGCTGTTCAACGGAAAACGAGTATGTGGTACACTTGCTGTGCGGTTTCTGAATCAAAAAGGAGTGGAAATAAAAATATTGGTGCATTGCAGCATAGTGATTTGTGTTTGGAAAGCCCACTGCAATAATTGAAAATGCAGAATTGAGTAACTGCCCTTAAATAAGTATATGATTATCACTTTAAGGATTTCCCCCTGTGTGTCATGAGTCGCTGTGTGGCAGGCAGGAGTTGGACCCAAAATGCAGGCACTCAGGCATGAGGTTTAAACACAAAGAAACTCAGCTTTATTTGCTGGCAGGGGAAAGTCATAAAAAAGCAACCTAAACTAAACTGGAAACTCATAAACAAACCTCACAGTGAGACACAGGGAGATCCACACAGCATGAGGGACAACACAACACTGACTCAGAGAAACACAGGGTTTAAATACACTGGGAAGTAACGAGGGGAATGAGACACAGAAGGAGAGCACAGCTGGGGGAAATCAGAACTGACGAGACAAGGAAGCGTAATCTGAACACACTGAGATAAGACAGAGACCTTCAAAATAAAACAGGAAACACATAACACAGACTGAACAAAAGACACAGACTCACATGCAGGCACTACAACAGAGGGAACAGAGACGTGGGACCAGGGCAGACACAGACACTGACTGGACACGGGGATATAGCGGACAGGGGAGACAGCAACTAAGGATTACACAGAGTCAAACCATAAGACATAACTCTAACAAAGAAACCAAAGACTAGAAATGATAAATAATATATAAACTCAAAACCCTGGTTCAACGACCCAGGCATCCTAACACTGTGGCTACAGGGGTAAGGGATGAACCCTGAACAAACCGGGTTCGTGTGTAATCAAACTTTTTATTCAAGGTCCATCACGTGGCCCCCCTCCCGAGGATGTGGTCCGCTCCACTGTGAGTAACACTGAGCACTTGGACCCCAGCCATGATATCAAAGACATTATCAAACAGCACCAGCCTGAAGGCACAACATCTTCCTCTGGATCTCCCACGCAAAGGTTAACACACACACACACACACACACACACACACGATGATGTGAGATATTGACGATTGTCATACTCTGTGGTATTTAATCTGACTACTGTGGTGTGTGTAGGAGAAGTGATGGAAAGTTGTTTGGAAAGAAGCCAGACCCTCATGATGAAGCGATGGAGATCCTTAAAGATCAAATGGCAAACCCACCACAACCGGTATCCTAACTCCACACCTACCACACACACACATGCACACACACACACACACACACACACACACACGGCAAAACAATATCTAACCATTTTCCATATCTCAGACTCACAGAAAGACTTCGTCCGCCCAATCTAAAGAAGACAGGGGACACAAGACTAGCCAGAAAGCCAAGCCTCGCCCCCAAGGGCCATCTAGCTCCAACATAAGCCCCGCCCCTCCTCCAGGTAAATTTACACTGTAGAAATACCTGTGAATAAGCTCCAGATTAGACTGATACAGGTGTGTATTGTTCATGATATAAATAAATAAATGAATGTTCTTGCTTCCAGTCTCCAGAGAGTTGCCAGTTGAGGAGGAGATCATTCAGACTCAGCTCCACAGCAGAACCAGTGATGAATATTACACTTATTCCAACGTCCCGTGGAAACTCTACATGAGGAAAGAGGTTTGTTTTTACCTCAGTTTTTTTTTTAGCTAAGTACAAAAAATGGAGCTGTAAACCCCAACGTCAATATAATCATTTACATAAAAATACAGTTTATTTATGTCTGTCCTCCATTTACAGGTTTTTTATCCTAAAGAGAACTTGAACAATCCACTGATCCTGGATCTGATCTTCAGACAGGTTGGTTTATAAATCCAATAACTGTCAATATTCATCATCTTTATTTATTTTGCTTTTATGCAATTCTTTGTGTAAACTTGTGTAAATTATCATAGAGACCTCAGGGTGTCTTCCAGCTGGTCTAGTTAACAGTAATTATGGCAGTAGTTCAGATGGTCATGATTCATTAATATTAAAATGCTAAAATAGTGTCTGTGATGTAGTTATTTTTCACTCCAAGTGTTTCCCATTAGCACATTGCTATTCCTGGCTGTGTCTTCCCAGATTGTACATGACACCTTTTCTGAGGCTTGCATACGTATCACGCAGGAGGAGAGACAGAAGATGAAAGACCTGTTGGGTATGATGAAACTAGCATGCATGCTTTAAGGTTTATGACTTACTTGCATCTATGTGATGCTCTCTGTTGGTTCTCAGGAGTTCAAACCTTTACTGATCCTCTGTTTCTGTGACAGCGGGGAACAAGGTGGATCAGGTTTCAGGAACATACAATGAGAACGTGAAGAAGAAGGTGGTCACCGTGGCTAGAGACGAATGGGAGATCTACTTCTCTCGCCTCTTTCCAGCCTCTGTGAGCTGTTGTTTTGCTTGGCATAGATAAACTGAATTAATAAATAGTTTCATGTGTTTATATTGTGGTGTGTGTATATGGTTGTGTGTGTTTTCCAGGGCAGTGTCGGGACAGGTGTGCAGGTGTTGTCCGTGTCTCATAAAGGTATCAAGCTGCTGAAGATGGTGAAGAGCAGCTCTTCTGCTTCAGACTACTTCAGAGTGCTGAGGCCTTACAGGTGAGTCTCATGCAACATATTCCTGTTAAAAAACCCTGTAAGTTAGATTGTTTTAAATGCATTTTCTTGTTTTAAAAACACAAATCAGATGCTAAAAAGAAGATCTGGCCATAGATCTTATTTAACTTTCTGTGTATACATGTCAAATGCCTGATTGCTTTGAACTATGACTTTAAGTTGACTTCCTGGTTTGGCATATCACTTCCTTTGCAGCTATTCAGACATCCTGTTTGTGTCTATTCCATCTAAGAACATGCTTGAGTTCAACCTGACTAATGAGAAGCTGATCTTGTTCTCCGCCAAAGCCCCGCACGTCAAGCATATGACCGACTACTTCCTCACAGAGCTTAAGAAGGTCAGAGGAATGTTGTCAGTGTCTGCGTGTGACGAAGTGTGAATTATGAATGGATGAGTTTTTGTAATGCACACTGATTGGCACAATTAAATTAGATAACATTACTGTGTAAAAAAACCTCATATAATATTTTTTTAATATATGTATGCATGGGCTTTACGCCATGTCCTCTTTGATTTGAGTGTTTTTTTTATTAACTTTCTATTTATTTATTTTTTTACTTTAAAAAGATGAAAATTCAGGTGTAATCCAAATTTATACTGATGCCATAACATTGACATCTAAGCGCGTTCACAGGGTGTGTAGTGCTCTTTATCCACGTGTGAAACTGGCTCAGTTTTCAGTGTCTTAAAATTATGTGCAAAATTTTTTTTTTTTTTAATATTTTGCTTCCAAGAAGCCAGACTTTCTTGTATTTTTTAAAAGTGGTTTTGAGCAATACTTTTAGAGTTTTTCTTTGGACATTTTCTTCTTTTCCCCTCATTTTCACTCCTTGTATCTGACCATTTTCAGAGGAATTTTTTGTTTTGTTTGTTAAGCCACTTAACACTGACCTCTGAATCATTCAAGCACCAAAAAAGGCGCCTGAGTCAAAGGATAAGTCTGTATTTTGTCTACATGTGACACACAACTTAGCAAAAAAAAACAACAACAAAAAAACCAAACAGGCACTTTGTTTCTAGCAGCCTGTAAAAAAAAATCCCCATTTCTGGAGCTGAATCTTATAAAAATTCCAAAGACAACAGACATGAAATAGCAATTAGCAATTTTACACCAAACAGGTCCTTCCCAAAGAGCTGCTAGCTGAAACCTGGGTGTATACCGGCATGGTGTGCAGTGTGTCCTGACACGTGACCTCATCAGAAATGGTCTGAGTGGAAGCCATTCTTAAGGAACGGAAATGGGGAGAAAAGACTGAAGTGTGCCAAATAACCCAAGAAGTGGACTAAAAGTCAGTGACAACAGGTGTTATGCACTGATGAATCCACATTTCAAATGATCGGTTCAAATCATCATCAGTATGTACGGAGGAGGAGGTCGAGTTAGATGTACAACACTGAGCGTCTCCAGCCATCTAAAGCATGGTGGAGGCTCCGTCATGGTTTGGAGCTGCAGACTACTTAAACAAAGCTTGCCTGATGATTTCAGTCTGTGCTGAAGAATAAAAATGGTCACACAAATCCTGTATTTCTTGTATGCTTGCACATGTTTCAATAAATCAATGCACATATTTCCCATTTTCTTTGTAAAATACAAAACCATGAAGTGTGGCTTAAGACTTTTATACAGTACTGTATTATATGGCACTTTAACTATAAAATATCACTACCTTCATTTCTTTATTTTTTACTTATGGAGATGTGATCAGTACGCAGGAATAACTATTTAAGTTTATAAACTTTAAAACAAACCTACAGTGAGTAGCGCTGACAAACCCATGAATTCAAAGTGGACATTAAGCAGTGAGTGAGGAAAAGGATTTTCTTGGCACAAATGTTCTTTGGCTCTCTGCTGGATGTCAGCGTGCCCTGTCTTTGTCAGGACTCGGAGTATGTGGTGGCAGTGAGGAACTACATCACTGAGGACAGGACTCAGCTCAACTTCCACAAAGGCGACATCATCAGACTCCAGCACATGGACGGACTGGAGGCTGGTGAGATACAGGAACAATCCAACACTGAAAATTGTCACAGTGATAGATCTGCGTTCTGCCTCTGAATTATTTCACAGTGCCCATTTCATTGTGTGGTTGTATCTCAGGTAAACGTTATGGCTGCATTGTGAGGAAGAAGGTGATGCTTCTGGAGGAGCTAAAGAGAAACACCGCTGAGTTTGGTGCGTGTGGCGTGACCTTTCTTATTCTAGCTTTCTTCTAACATTTTGGAGTTTATTTATGTTGGTTGTGTGACGCAAAATATTGACGACATTGAAGAGTCTTTATTTTGTGTGCAACCTTTTACTTATTTTGTGTGTGTGCATGTGTGTAGGCTGGCGGTTCGGCGCCGTGTATGGAAAGTCTGGAGTGTTCCCCAGCGAGTTCATCCGTCCTGTGGCTGCTCCGGACTTCTTGGTCCTGCCTCCTGAACGCGTGGAGCCCCGAGACCGGCAGGGACGAGTCGCTGCCTCTGCTGCTGTTGCCGTTGCGATGGGCTCAGCTGTAGCTGCTCATGAGCTCGACCTCTCTACCGAGGTGCTAACTGCATTTTTTTACTCTTTTTTTTCTGCTTTTTCAAGCTTCCCACTGTCAGAATAATAGATTAAAGGCTAGTGTAACCTACAGAGCTCAACATGAAAAGTACCCTTACATTATGGTATTAGCCAGTGTTTATACAGCATACATTGGAATGCTTTGGTTAGCAGAAATGGAAATATTTTTTAGATAATTACACTGTTGGTGCTCCCAGTAAGTGGCACTCTTGCTTTTGCTCTTCATGCTGTGGATTTATGTGTGTCTCAGGTAGTGAATGAGATCTATGGAGACAGCCTGGGTGTCGAACTGGACGACCTGCCTCTGCACAGCAGCCAGTACCACATGGTTGAGTTTGCCAAGAAGTACTTCCGAGAAGCGCAGAGGAACAGGAGGTCAGACACACACATGTGCAGTGTCAAAAACAAAAAAGAGTTAGAAGGGTTCAATGTAAAGCTAAAATTTGCACTTACGGTGATAAATAAATAACCAAGAGTTGATTGTCTGCTTTTCCCCACAGTGATCAGAAAGCGAAAAAGGGGAAGGAGCCCAGGGACCCTGCTGACATGGTCAAATTCTCCAAGGTAATTCAAATCACAATCATGTCTCTGTGTTCAAATATGTAGGATATGTTTCTCTGTGCCTGTGCACAGACATCTAAAATGTTTTTCTTGCCATCGTGTTCTGGTTTAACATCTTGTTTCTCTTTCTAGTCTCCAATCCAGGAGTCACTGATCGACTTCTCAGACAGTGGGATGAACCGAGTGGCTGCTGACATCTTCTTAGGTGAGAGCAGAGTGTGGAAACGAAAAGAAACATAGGAGGTTGAAGCAGAAGATAGCAGCATAAAATACGCATATAATTCGTGTTTCTTTGTGTTTATTTTTAGTTTATTTTTAGTATAAAAGCATTAATGTGCTTTAAACGAAATACATCCGAAAAGATGTGGTCCAGCTCCTTCTGTTTCTTTTGCCCAGCTATAATGAAGTTTATGGGAGACTTCCCAATGAAAGGCCAGACCGAGCAGGACCTGGTCACCACTATATTAAAGGTATGCTTACATCAGCAAATTGTCTATCCATCGTAATACTAAGACGAGGTCTGTGTGTGTGATTTTATGTTTTTCTTCATGCATGTGCTTAAACAAATCTAGTTAAGTGGTGACCATGGCCTGATGAAGGATGAAGCCTACTGCCAAGTGATGAAACAAGTTACTGTCAACACCAGCTCCAAACCGTAAGGCTTCCAGCGCTCGCTTGTTCTTAAAGAGCGGTGACATGATCGTGGAGAGGCTTTAATCTGTGGCTGTGTGCGCGCTTCTCTGTGTGCAGGGACAGCTGTCAGAGAGGATGGCGGCTGATGTATATTCTCACATCTTTCCATCGCTGCTCTGATGTTATGAAGCCGTTTCTGTTGACGTTTCTCCAGGATGCATGTGCCAGCCCTGGTTTGCAATACCAAGGTGGGCATCGTGTTCATCAGTCCATCTCTTTTGATCTTCACTGGTCTAAAGTGTTTACTAGCTGCTCTTCCAATTGACAGGTATTGCCAAGGCATGCGAGCAGAATCTGAGGAGGACTTTTCAGTATGGCGGGCGTGTGCAGTATCCCAACAGCATGGAACTCAAAGCAATGATGGTTAGTTTGTAAATAAGCTACACAGTGTTCCTTTGTGGCTTGAAATATGTCAAAATTGTAGGGATTGCTAACATTTATTAACTTAAAGTGTCAACAGGTGTTTAAAAATACGGAAAAACAATCGCGATAGTCCTGTATAGTCTCCTTTATCAGGTAGATCAGGCCGTGCTAATTAATCTACAGCGATATCTTTCATATTGTGCTGTCTGTCTGTCATGTTCAGATGTGACTTTGCTACATGACTTCTCAGTAACAGCTGTGGATAGCAGTGTGTGACGTTTCCCTCTGATTTGTTGTCCGTGTACAGGCCGGGCGTAGCTCCAAGAGACAGCTGTTCCTGCTCCCAGGTGGCATCGAAAGGCACTTAAAAATCAAGACATGCTCTGTGAGTGGAAAACACACACACACACACACACACACACACACACACACACACACACACACACACACACACACACACACACAGAATGGCTGCAGTCTCTAAATGTAAAACACAGATGCCGAATTTGTAGCCTGTAGTGGCATATTTGCTTTTTCCTTATCAGGTTGCTTTGGATGTGATCGAGGAGCTTTGCTTTGAGATGGGACTCCAAAGAATGGAGGCACTGGATGAACATGCCGTCTTTCTGGTCACACACAAGGGTAACAAGGATCTCTTGTTTTAGTGGAGCTCTAAAATGCTAACATTTCCTTTTGCCGAGTTAGATATTGTGACACGTTTTGGATAATAGATGGTTACTAAAGTGTCTTTCTGTGTAGGTCAGAATGTACGTCCCCTGAACAAGCGAGAGTACATCCTGGACATCGCTACAGAGGCCGAGCCTGTGGATGCCAACTACAGTCTTTGGTTCAGACGGGTTATATGGAGTCTAGCTCTCAAACTTGACAATGAACTTTATGTCACCATGCACTATAACCAGGTATAAATCTCATTTTACAGAGCTGTAGATTGAAGCAGTCCTGAAATTTTAGCTCACGTGCTAAATATATGTCACATCCTAATATTTCATTGGATAGTTGACCTCTTTTTTTTTGTGGCCACATACGTCATCACCACCTGATGAGGGGTTTTTTTTGTGGTCGGGCGGTGTGCATAGAAGTACATCTTGTTTCGTCTTCTCATCAGTTGATATTTGTCATAGAAACAAGACGGACTAATGCACATTGTGCATCTCTTTTCAAGGTGTTGCCAGACTACCTGAAGGCCTTGCTGAGTGTGGTTCCTCAGGGTAAGCCCAGTGAACAGCATCTGCAGCAGATTACCAGGCTGGCTGCCCTACAGCATCGTGCCAAAGACACCATCTACCTCCCCACCCTGTAAATATATCCATTTGTTGTTGGAAACCTTTTGCATGCTAATGTACCAACTCACACTTGCATATCAATTACTTTTGGGCAAGTTACTAGTGATACAAGGGACAAATTAAAGGTAGGTTTATGTTGATTTTTTGTCACCCATCATATCTAATCATATCTATGCAATCAACATGTGACTGAAGTGCAGACTTTTAGCTTTAATTCAAACGGTTTAATGAAAGTGTTCCATTCACTTTTTAGGAATTAAATTGATTCAAAGTGATTTAAATTAAAGTTATCTAAAGAAACCAGTGATTGAGACTTTTAGTAGCTTAATTTTTTCCAAACAGTAAGACATGGCTGACTTACAGAAGAGCACGTTTGGCCCAGATATCCCTTTTCTACTATTTCTGATATTGTGGCTATATCACAAAGGGCTGAGAAGGTTGCTGCTGCATCCAGGGACTAAGTTAGTTACCTAAGGGTTTTTATATAACAACACTCTTTAAAATGTAGTAAGACAATAATAGTAGACCCAGGACTGAACCTTGGGGAAACCTACAGGTTGGAGAAGCAGTGGAAGAGAATGTACGGTATCCCTGAGAGGTCAAACGTACTGCAACGTAAAAGAACACAAATAGAAAAATGTTCCAAAAGCACACAAAACACAATGAAAATTCATCAGGTTAGACCATTACATGGTATGTTGAATAACTAATATAAAACATTAATCTACAGTGTTATATGTATCATTCAATTACAACTTTACTTCCTCACAACAGCTACAAATCCTCAGGTTCTGTGTCTCAGTCGAATCCTTTGGATGTCTCTGTTTCTCTCATTTCCACAGCTGTTCTGTAAGATTTTCTGCTAAAAAAAAACACTTCTGTTGTGTTTTGGGAGCTTTTTTCCCCCCAACTTCCACTGTGCTATTTATCTTTTTATTTTTTATTTTTGCTTTACATCTGTTGTGTGTTTCTTTTTTAATTTCATTGTGCATTTTTGTGTTTTTATGTGCTTTTGTAGCATTTTTGTATTTTTCTGGCCTTTTCTTATGCTGCAGTCTTTTTGACCTCTCAGGGCCACCATACTCTGCTTTGCACATTGTCGGCTTGCACAGAAAAATACACCTAACATGCACATGTATAATTTGATCTGCTGTCTCTCAATTACACCTTGTTCCCTCTTTGTGTGTGCGTGTGTGTTAGCCGTGAGGTGCAGGAGTGTATCCCTCCGCAGTTCTACAGCAAAACGGGTTCACAGCAGTGGCTGAACATGACAACACAACAAATGCAGCAGGTCCAGCCCTTAAACCCAAACCAGGCCCGTGCGCAGTTCCTTGGTAAGACAACAGTTCTTTGTGAGTGTGAAAGATACTCACAATTTGGCCATTTAACTTTTACATATGTCCTATAATATTAATAACTTTTGTATTGTTAATAGCAAAGCCCATTGCATGTTCTGTCACAATTCTATTAGGATAAACATCTGAAACATCTGGTAAACAAAAAAAAAGGCTTATTCTGATCCCAAATAGCAGTTCTAAGTTGATATGAGTGCAACAAGGTGTCTTCTTAGAGCATTTTTGTTGGACCAGTGGGAAAGAAAATGTTCAAAAGCACGCTGAGTTGTCACAACATTTTCTGTAAACATCTTTACCTCGCAATTTGAATGCGGCAGCTTATCAGAAGTGAGCTTTGGTGTGTTTTTGCCCAGGTCTGGTCAGTGCCTTCCCCATGTTTGGCTCCTCCTTCTTCTACATCCAGAGTTCTGGCTCTTCGTCCGTCCACGCCCCATGCATCCTGGCTGTTAATCTGAACGGGCTTCATTTTCTTAACAAGGATACACATGTGAGTCAAACAAGCATTTTACCCTTTTACTGATCTATTGTGATTGAAAAATACAAAAAAGGCAGGAATTTTATTATATTTCAACAAAGCTTTTGGCTCCCTCTCTTGGTTATGGTGTTTACTGGCTCTCCCATCCATCACTTTTTAATAAAATCTAAATTACAAATAAAAAAAAAATCTGTGCAAGAGAAAATATAACCTTTAAAACTTGAGATATTTAATTTTATATTTTATGTCTGTGTGTCCCCTGAATGCCTATTTATATGCACATTGGTGTGTTTGTGTGTGATTAGGAGACTATGGTGCGTTTTCCTCTGAAGGAGATTCAATCAACTCGCACTCAGAGGCCAACATCTGGCTCCAGTTACCCATATGTGGAGATCATGATAGGAGACCTGCTTAACCAGCGTGTCACACAGCTGCAGCTGGAGCAGGTGGGTGTATAAGACATAGATGGAAGATTTAGATGTGTGTGTGTAACAGTGTCTGTATTTACAGTGACACATTTCTGCAGTCAACATGTGACTGAGGTGCAGACTTTTAGCTTTAATTCAAGGTGTTTAATGAAAGTGTTGCATCAACTTTTAAGGAATTAAAGTGATTTCTATACGCAGTACCCCATTTGTGAAAATCTTTCGCAGTCAACGACAGCTTGAAGTCTACAACCCAGGGTCATCACCAAATGCTTAGTTTTCTCTCTTGAGATGCTCCCCCAGGCTTTTACTCCAACCACATTCAGTTGCTGCTTATTTGTGGGTCTCTGCCTTCAGTTTTGCATTTGAAAACTGAAGAGCATGCTTTATTGGTTTCAGAAAGATATCCCATTTCTTTGCCTTGAGAAACTTTTGGGTTGCTTTTGCAGTTAATGTGTTATAATCTGCAGTTTGAATCTGCATCAATCTGAAAGTCTGGACTTCAATCAAATATTGATTAATTTAAAATTCACTCTGATGGTGTACACAAGAAAAATTACAAAAGGAAAAAGTGTCCACAAACTTTTGCCCCTTTCGCCCCTAACTGTACCACTGAGCAGTCTATATTCACTCTTCATCTTAAGTCCAGTGTTGTTTCTTTAAGGGTCTAAATGATGTTATGCTATATGATGTTTTCCAGGGCCTGGAGCTTTGCCGAGTCATCGCCATGCACGTGGAGAACATGCTGTCAGTCAGAGAGAAGAGACTCACATTGCCACCAAGTGAAATCACCCTCCTATAGCACAAACACGAGGATGACATATACATAGAAATCACAGTTTATGCCTTAAAAATGTACTCTACCTCTATTCGTAAGACAGGTTATTTTTGTATGTAAAGGCACTGTTATGTAAGTTGATAACTTGTTAATTGTGATGATTTTGAAAAAGTGCTTTTCCATTATGGCCATGAAAATGTTATTTTTTCTTAATTGATCAGCTGTTTTCTTAATGAATGATTTGGCACATAAAATGTCATTCATGTCAGTCACATTCTAGTTTTAGGAGAAACTTGAATGAATGCCTTAATCTTTAATGTTTATAGTTTTACATAATCATCCAGAAATGTTTAAGATCTTGTCCAATATAACTATAAGGGTTAATGTCTCCTTGTTTCTATGCCCCCTCTTTAGAAGAATAGCATGATTTGCTTTGTTCTTGGGACAACATTAATTTAGTGTGGCGCCAGTTTATTGCTGTATAACAAACAAACCCTTATAACCTCATCTTGGTTTTGACATTAATGGAAACTTTTGGTTTGATAGGATAAAGAACTTTTTCTGACACATCTCTTATTCTCTGCTTTGCCAAGGGGCAAAGTCTTTTTGGCACATAAGCTTTGAGGCCACATCACTAAGAGTTTGCACTAACTTAAATATTTTATTTTTACAATAAATTTTTTTGCAAATAGCAGTTTTACATAATTATTGCATGTGAATAATAAATTAAAGCTTTAGTTTAACAGTAGTGGTGTGTGAGTACTTTATTTTTTTAGCAAATACACAGCGATGTATATGAGTTAGGTGGAATTAAAAAGTATGGAAAATCATTGGTGAATACAATACTACTAAAAAAAAAACACCTAGTAAAATATAATTAAAATAAAATATATGCTAATTATAACCTTCAATTAATGGTCAGAGTTACCATTCTTTTCATGTTTTTCTTCCTAAACAGGACGTATAATCATGTTTGAAGTAGTCATTCAAACATGATTGAATCTGTCTGCTTCCATTATTTATCTTAAACCCAGTTTTTGACATCTTAAAAAAACAAATTTACAATAGTTAAGGTAAAATATTTACATTTTCTCCACAGTTTCGAGTGAGAAAAGTTAGCCGTTATTGGCTATTTAATCTCTGGCCGTTCCATTTTGTTTAAAGGAACTCCCAGTTGTCGCAGTGTACAAACTCAAGCAGCTGGGACATACCGCCGGTGTACCCTGTGCTACAAACCGAGCATCCGTCTCGCGAGCCCTTGGTTGTGTAGGCGTTGCTGAGTAATTGCTCGCAGATTTCCTCGTCCCTATTGGTTACCAATAACGGGATCCGTGTGAACCGGGAAGAGGAGGGAAGGGAGGGGGCTGCTGTGGTCAAACCCACCAGGACCTAAACAGCACCAGGAGGGAGAGGAGGGAGAGGAGGGAGGAGAGCCGCAGCAGAGGCAGTAGTGTTGTACCCCCGCTTTCAGCCTGCATGGGCTAGTCCGTTAGCTAGCTTAGCATCTTCCGACTGCGCCGAACCGCCTCTAGTCCCGCCGAGAAGCTCGGGTTGATACCTCCGTGTTACCCTCTCTGTCCCCTCGGTCCTGCCTCCCCCGTGACCGGCTTGAAGATGATGAAGTTTAGGTTTCGTCGGCAGGGTACCGACCCGCAGAGAGAGAAGATAAAACAGGAGCTTTTCGCCTTCAACAAGGTAAAGTAACGGGACAAGAGGAAAGAGAGGGAGATGGTATTCCTCCTCTCGCCTGGTTCCCCTAAACTAACAGACTTATTTTTTAAGTATGGATATATAAAAAAGCCAGTACTTTGCAGCTGAAGTCCGGCCACTCCTCTTGCGCTTGCTGTTTTCTGTCCTACTTCGCGGACAGAAAAACAGATTAACTGTGAAGTGCGGGTGGTGTGTTTGCAGGGCGCTTTGTTGATGTGTGTTTAGTGGCTGTTGAGTTGTTTTCACGGCGTGTTAATTACCCCTCACCCAAACCAGGACCTCGCTCAAAGTGAGCACCGAGCAGCAATCAAGGAAAACTGTAGCGCTAATATTGCTGTAATTAACCAGCAACAGAGGATTGTGTGGGTGTTGGGGATTATCAGCATGCAGATTAACGGGATTAAATTACAATACATGCTTTTCCAGCAGTTTGATGCTTCGTGTGGTGTGACCCATCTGTCATGCAATGAGCAGGGGTGTCTCTCAGCGTGATGGCACTTTTTACTCCTCTCGTCTGGTTTTAGTAGAAGCTGCCAGAACTCTGCGAGCAGGTTTTTTTTTTTTAATCTCTGCTGCTTTTTGTTATGCAGAGTCCTCATACCCCTTGTTCCAGTTCTTGGGGGTCTTTGGGTGCAGCCACGAGTGTCAGGTTTCATGCTGGCATCACATCCACATGGATATGAACCAGTTCATGTACAGTAAATCTGAGCGTCCTGTGGTAACATTCAGTGGTGGTGATGGTGGGTTTCCCCTCTGGACAGTCAATGTAAGAGCTCATTTCAGTTCCACTTTCAGTATAAGCTGAATCTTGTCACCCAGATCACTGTTGCTCTGCCGGTGGGAACATAAAAGCAGCTTGCACCACCCAGATCTGTGGAATGTACTGATAATTCTGCATATCCAGTGTCAGTTGTAGTAACTTACCTAACAGGTTGTTTCTAAGCTCATACTGAGCACTGCAGTGGCCTTGAACTCAGGTTAGATGAAGGCATGGTCTGCATGCTGTGTCTCAGAAAGTGTCCCAGAGAGCCGGGCTGTCTGAACCTTTTAAATGTTAAAAGAATCAAGTTTGTCCTGCACGCTGGATGTGATAATGACATTAACCCTTCTCAGCAGGATTGTTTAGGACTGCGGTGCAAACAACACGATGATGACTGATGATCGTTAAGAATCAGCACTACAGTAGATTTATTTCTCCAGAATTAAGTACTTCAAGTCTGAAGTAAAAAGAGTCCTCTTTTAAGCCATTTTAGCAAATGAAAGAATAAGTAATATAAAAAAACACGAACCAGCGCATGTCCTGGAAAATATTAATCAGCCTTTCGTGGCTCCTAGAGTCGTACTTGCATGACCTTGCAGACTTGGGTAACCTCAGTTGTCTGAGTAGCATGAATGAGATTGCTCACTGTGGCCAGCACAGTGACATGAGCGCTTTGACAAACTGTCCTTACACCATCCCGCCTCAGTATCTGCATTCCAGTCGAGGCCCTCATTGAGTTTGCCATTGAACGGTTTTAGATTGTGGCTTTCCTTAGAGCCACAGCAAATAGTCGATTTGTCAGCTGGTGGATCTGACTGAAAATTAATCAGCAAGCATGTCTTTTGGTAATAGAATGATCAGGTGTTTGTTTTGTTCATTTAATTTAGTTATGGGATAAAACAACTCTCACAAATTTGAAAGTAATTGCTCTTGTTAACTTCTCAAAAATGAGGTGTGATCAGTTATTGTTTTTTTTTTTTCTTTGTTTGTCTGTTACTTATTCCTGATGATATCCTATGTAGAAGTAAGCTTTTGTGTGAATGTGGCTCAGGCGGGCAAAAACTCCAGAGCAATCAGTTTGACATCATTGTTGCCGTTACACAGCTATCAGAAATGTGTTGACGAGAGTGATTTAACGAGAGTTGGTGTAGTGCCGAGTCATATCTGATAAATATATTTTGTATTATGTCTAACCAAACGAGACATCTGAGAGAATCACCCACTAGATAAATGCCTTTGTGGTAGGAGAGTACAGTTAGGGCCATTATTTGTTGGACAAAGACATCATTTTCTGTTGTAGTTTTTCTTCCATACACCATCACAGAGGATTTAAAATCAAACAACCGGGATGTGATTGAAGTGCAGACTTTCAGGGTCATTTTAATAGGTTCAACAAAAGTGCTGCGTTAACTATTTAGAATTCACAGCCATATTTATTCACAGTCATCCATTTTTAGAGACTGGAAATAAATTGAAAAAAAATGAAGGATTTAAGGAATCCATGGAGATCATGAAATGCTACGTTTCCCACCATGAGACGCTCTCCTCGGCCTCTGCTGCAGCCAGCTTCAGTTCCTGCTTGTTCGAGGGTCTCTCTTCCTTCAGTAACTAAAATGACATGCTCTGTTGGGATGAGATCAGTTGATATTTATTTTCCTTGACAAACTCTTGGGATGCTTTTGCAGTCTGCTTTGAGTCATTAACTGTCTTCACTGTGAAGTACCATCTGGTCAGTTTTCAGCTAGATCTGAGCAGAGGCTCTGGTCCTGTACATGTCACAGTTCATCCTGCTGTTTCTGTCAGACTAGACTGTGGCGATGATGCACCTCCCTTCCAAAGGAGTGTTCTTGTTGCTCGGTTAGATGTCGAAAGTAGTTCTGTCATGAAACATTTTAGTTGTCTTCTGTGGTCTTTGAGGCCTTTCGGCTTTTCTAAGTATGTATCAGATTGTTTGGTCACTTCTAAAGTTTTTGCTGTTTCTCTAATTGGTTTATTTTACTTTTTCAGCTTTCTCCTTCACTTGCACTGACATCTCTATTTATCTCTTACCCATAATTCCAATAAACAGGTACCAAATGGGACATCAACTACTGATCTTTTATCTGCTATTTTGTTATGGAATAATGAGGGAACAGGCTTCACCTGTCCATCCAATTAATTTGGACTCTCTGAAAATGAGGGACTGTGTATAAAACTTACTGTAATCCATAAACAGTTAATGCAACACTTTTGTTAAACGCCTTGAAAAAAAACTGAAAGTCTACACTTGAATCATATCTTCTTTGAGTTGTAAAGAGACCAAAGCTGCAAAAATGTTGTCTTTGTTCAAATACTTACAGACCTCACAGTTTTTAGGTGGGGGGACACTTTAAACAGCTTATGTTCATGTTAGCCGAATGATGATTCTTTGTTTGAATCTCTGATGAAAGTCCATGGACTGTTTGTTTTGCTGTAACTAACACACACACACACACACACACACACACACACACACACACACACTTTTGTAATGTTTGGCAGCAGCTGCCAGACTGTCACAGACGTTGTCTCTCTTCAGGAGGGTTGCTTTGATGTGACTGTGTTTGTGTGATAGAGACAGATCGCACTGCACCGGCACTTTAAAGACAGAAGGAGTTAATGTTTTACGTTATGTCTGAGTTCAAGCAAACAGCCAGGCTCAGTTTTTTCAGTTAGCCATGCCGAAACCTCGAAGACCTCCACAACCTGTTTTTAAACCAGTTTTAGGTGTCTCTCTACTGGTTTCTGTTCCCTTTTTCTTTGTTGACATAAACACTTCTCCAGCTGTCTCACCATCTCCTGACATGGGCTTGGAGAGAAAAAAGCTGAGATTTTATTTCAACCCAATTTAACAAGGTCTGCAGCACATTACAATAAAGCAATGCTGCTGCCATCAGTACTTTTTAAACTACTTTCCTGTAACTTTATTAAGGGAGTCCTCCCTTTTAGACGCCTCGCTGACTATATTCAGCGAGTCTGACGAGCAGAAAATGACACGCAAACTCTCAGACAGAACTGGGTGCATTTATGGAGGAAAGTCTGGAAAAATAAATGCAAGTGTACTTGTTGTTGTATTTCTTGTGGCATTTGATAAATCTGTCTCATCAGTTTGTCTTCTCTACCCTTTCTCTGCCTGGCTTTCTCTCACAGACTGTGGAGCATGGGTTCCCCCATCAGCCCAGTGCTTTGGCCTTTGACCCCAAGTTGCAGCTCATGGCCATCGGGACAAAGTCAGGAGCCATAAAAATGTATCCTTCTGTCAGTGAGCTCATGCATCTGCAGAAGTTGTTTTGGGGGCTTGGTAAGGATTGACGTTTTCAAATAAGAAACAACAGCATCACACTTTTTAAATGAATACATCGCATTAGACTAGATTAACAGATCATATTGTAGTCCAAGTCTCAAAGTGTTCATGCTGTATTAGTCAAGGCATGCATACTACAAGTGATCTAACACAAAGCTGAGGTGACTGACTTGTGTTTGTGTCAAACAGATTATAATTTATCATATTTTAGGTTGTGTCATGAAGCTGATAAAGATTTTGGGGACAGGAAAAGATCTAGGAGTACCTCGGATAAGATTACAGAGACTGTTTCTTTTTCACTGCTGTCAGTTTACATCTTTTGAAGTGCTGCTCTGCTTATCTCGCTGCAGTGCAGATACCGTTTTGCTTTAGCTGTGGGTTTGTGGCAGAAGTGTTTCATGGATGTGTCTTTTTTTTCATGCTCTTTAGTGAAAATGCACATGTTGTGGGATGACAGCTAGTCATTCTTTCAGCTGCTGTTATTACACCAGGTCTACAGTGATCATACTCTTCATTGCTTTTCAATAGAACTATATCTTATGGTCTGTCTTTCTCAAGCTCCACTTTTTTTTCTTTTCTTTTTTTTTTTAAATGTGGAGGAATGTCTGATCAGTCGGGATTTGCAGAAGAGCTGTTTACATAACATCAGTTTGGTAGAAGTGTGGGTGGGTGGGTGGACCAGTGTGTCTCTAGATTTTCATGTTCCATGTTTTTGTTTTTGTTTTTTTTAAGTTGTGACATTAGTCACATATATTTACCACGCCAACTGTGTTTCTAGAAAGAAGCCTACCATGTGACGCAGCCTGTGACCAGAGAGGTTGTGAAGAAACCCTCAATTTTACTATAATTATTTCTCTAAATAACTGAAATTTTACTTGCACTCACATTCTGACAAGTGGGTTATAAGATATGATTGAAGTGGGGGGGGTTATTTACCATCAGTAGCATCATCTGGTCACATGTACTTGCATCCCCAAGTAAGTTGCTGGCAAAAAATGTCATCACAGCCAAAAGGATGGTCAACAAGAAGTATGAGACTGACACAAAGCCTGGAAAAGAAAAACTGATAAACAACATCATCTTTGTTGCAACAGAATTTAGATGCTTGAAGAGGATTTCATCCTCAGAGGCTTAGAATACCTTAAATGCATTTCTTGGTGTGCGGTCAGTGGGGGAATCTTAACCCCCCGACCCAGGGAGTGGCAGTGCGACGTTCACTCTGTTTGAGTAATGCCGGATGAGCCGAGTGAAGCTGTGCTGGGAATCTGTATCGGGTTTGGCTCATGATATGCATTACGACAAAGCCATAATCTGGCTCAGTGTGTCGGTTGTGTCAGAAATTCCAGCAGCTCTGAGGCTAGTGCTTCATCCACACCAGCAGCTCCGTGACATGTTGTTGATGTCTGTTATCTCTGTGGCATTCAACTCTGCCGTATTTATGCCGTAGCTTCTAGAGTGAGTAGCAGTCTGCTGCTGCGGTGTTGTATTCAGGATTGCCCAGAGTTGGGCTTTCCTCCCTTTCATTGATCAAACAGGTGAACTTCACCAGAGTAAGACCTTAGGTGGGAAACGAAACGCTGGGATATGTTAAAACTTGCATTAAAGGTGTTTCTGCACAGATTATAGTAACTGTGTGTGTGTGAAGGGAGGCTGCCGGCTGTGTGTGCATTATGCTGGAGAATCGACTCTTTCACATTCAGATGGGAGGAGAGAGAGAGAGAGAGACTGGTGGTGCCAGGCACTTGCACTGCAGAGAGGGATGGATCGAGGGGGGAATGGTGAGATGGAGATAAACGGCAGCAGTGAAGACAAGGGAGTGTGAAACAGACAGTGGGGGGAGGCAAAAATAACTCCAGTCCACGGCGAAATGTCTGTATCTAGCAAAACTAGCCTGCCATCACCCTGCCTTTTAACAAGATTCCAGCTGCTGGAGAACATTTACCTACATTGCATTAGAACTTCAGCCTGTGGTCAGGACCACCTAAAGCTGGTTAACTTTCCCAGGTAGTTACACGAGACACTGTTTTAGAGGGCTGGACCAATAAGCTAATAAAGAGATAAAATTAATATTGAGGTCAGCTTTTTGGTGCAGTCCTCTACAACATCCCAGTTTCTCATGTGGCCCCTTGGGCGAATTAATTGCCGACCCCTGAGCTAAAGTTGTAAGTTGTTTAAAAAAAGTTTTATGGTGCCCAAATCTGAGAGTTCTCCTAAATGTAATAAAACTAAACACTTGATGGCAGTGAGATGTTTGTTTGTTTTTTCCCTTGGAAGAATGTTTGTCACAAAGAGCTGCAGCTAATGATTTTTATATTAAGCTGATGGAGTTACAGTAATGTGGCAGCTGTGACTTTTGGTGTTGGATGACGTTTGATCTTCAGTAGAGATTCTTAGAAATGAGGGGTCACAGAAAACTTGGCCAACCCGCTGGCTAATCACTGCTTTCCATTCAAGCAAGAGAAAAAAGAGCCAAACCATACACTACAAGGACAAAAGTATTGGGCCACACCTCAGTCTTTGAATTCAGGTGTTTTCAGTTTCGTTGCCACAGGTGTATAAATTCAATCACCCAAGTCATGCAGTCTGGCTTTACAAACATTTGTGAAAGAATGGGTGGTTCTTAAGAGCTCGCTGAATTTGAGTGTGGTGTTTTAATAGTGTAGGTTTAGTTGTAAATGCTTTTATTTAGACCGTGAGAAGCTGAGCAGGAGCTTTTTTTTGTGTGGAGGTGAAACACCATGTCCAGCTGGTATTTTTTAACAAAGTGGCAGGTTAATTATTTGTAGATTTCCATCTGGTTGTGTTCCTATCTGTAGATCCACCACATTTGGTATCAATAAGAACAATGTGAGAGCAGCAGCACCAGTTTCCTTAGGTTTGTTGTTTTTCGTGAGTGTCCTGTTGTCTTTGAGTCTCAGCCTCCGGTCATCTGCATCTTGTTTTCTGTTTGATTTTAACTGCGTGTCTAAGATCTGGTTTCTTCAGAGAATTATGAGTGAAACAAACTGCTGTTTACTAATGAATACACTGGTGTTAAGGTCATCTTATGGTTTTCCCCAGAAACTCTTCATTTCCCCAAATCTCTGTAGACACTACAGGGATCTGCATGACACTTTGAGCCACAACAGCCACTTTAGTGGGAAATTCATTGGAATTTCCCTTTAATCTATCAAAGCCTACTACTTGTTTGTTTTAACATTTACAGTGATATACAACAAATAATAAACTTGAAGAAAGCAACACAGTTTTATTCCACTTCCGAATTCAAGGTTGGGGGTAAACTAGACAGACAAGCAGTGAGAATGAGTTTCAGGTTTGTGTATGTGAGTGAGTGTCCACATTCCTTGTTAATCTGACAGGCTCACTGACTTTGGTTTGACCTAGAAGTGGTTGCCAGCATACCTGTACTGTAGTACACATTCACAGCCCTGTAGAGCCAGATGTGCAGTCCTGCTTTCTGACGCTGATGCCTGAACTGTGCAGAGAGCGTGCTGAGTAGTAGGACTAGAGAGTATTCACAAAAGAAGAGTAGAAAATTGCTAAATTTGAGGTACTTGTTTCATTTGAACTCATGCTCTCCGTCCTGGCACCACGTCTCCTCCCCTCCTCTTGTTCACATTCAGCCTCTCGTTCAAGTTTCTCACTTGCTCCCTCTCCTTTTCTCCTTCTCTCGTTCTCTGTGTTTATAAAGGCAGGGTCATATTACACCCTCAGAGTTTCTGCTTCGACCACAGACTGGGGCTCAGCAGAGGGAAGGGGACAATGTAGTGTGGAGGGTTTTTTTTTTTTGTTGGTTTTTTTTCCCCCTATCATCTGTGGGGGTGGTGGGGCGACTTAGGAGTCTGTCTCCTGTCATGGAATGCATGTTGCGTTGCCCTGGGTTAACCCTCCCTCATTGTGTGTGTGCGTGTGTGCAGATCGGGTGAGTAAGAGCTTTGTTGCTGAGTCGAGTCTTAATAAAGGGCGCTTTTGAAATGGTTTCCAAGACGACCATTGCAGTTGCCTGGGATGAGAAGTACTTGCACACTGGAGGGGTTTAAAAGTCTGCAGCTAAGCACATCAGACATTAGAGTTTGGTAAGAAATGCATCGGTTAAGGGTAAAAAGGTCAGAAAATGCTGCCTACAGTATTACAGAACCTCTTTGCGATGAACACATTTATTTCAGAATGACAAGTCAGGGCTCTGATTACTTCTAGACAATGTGGTACGTGCTCAGTCGCACAGACACTCTGACCATTTATCAAAAGGACCGGCCATCCAGCAGCCAGGACGAGCTAATATTTACACACTCGGGCAGCAGAGCTTTGATCTGTGTGTTTGTGAGTGTGCTCCAGCTGATGGCTCTGCGTCTGTCTCGCTGACATCCTGCTGGTCAATTGCCTGTTGTTGTTCTGATTCATCAGTTCCTATCTGACACTTTATATTTGCATCTTTATTCAGTATTTTTATCTGTACTGAAGTCACCATAGTCCAGCTTAGTTTAGACCACAGGGTTGTTCACTTTTTTTTCGGGAATTCAAGAGAAATCTGTCTTTAACACCATGAGTCATGCACTGTTGCAATATCACACTGACTGGATTTAAAAAAAAAAAAATCCCTGTTTTCTTAATTTCTTCTCATGATGAGTTGATTTTATTCTGACAGCTGTTTTAGTTTAATGCGAGTGCTCATGTCTGTGTAGTTGGCGGTGAAAACGGTGCATTTCCTTTGTGCTTGTTGGTGCCATCAGTTTCCCTTCTAATTGTAGTACAGCTTCAGCTTCTCCTGCCATTTCCCCATCATCAGTCTCCAGCTTTTGATCAAGTTATATGCATTTGTGTTTTTATGCACAACTGTGTGGTCTGTGTTGCAGGGGAGTCTGCAGAGAGGGTATACCATTTTATGTAAGCTGCATTATTTTTGTTTGTGTTGAACAAATCAATGCAAGTATTCATTGGTATAGT